CTGAGCTTGGAGCAAACCCTGAGTAGCGAGTGAGGATCACAGCATGTCCAGCCAGGGCGATGACTGCTACTTCTACTTCTACTCCACCTGCAACAAGGTGAGGCCAGAAAATCCGCCTCTTTATTTGCTAGATTAATTAATTATTCATTCCTCTTCATTAATTATTCATTAGCGAGTCGTTGTTGTGCTCCCAGTAATGAAATTTGGATTTTTGTTCCCCTTTTCCACCCGTTTATTTTTTTAACCTGTGTTCTTTTCTATTCCACTTTAAACCTTTGTGCTTTTCCCTTTCCATCCCATTTTTTTTTGACCTGTGTGTTTTTCCTTTCCATTCCATTTTTTCCTGATTTTTGTGAATTTTAGGGAGACTCCTGTTCCTTTAATCCCATTTATTTCTGGGAATTTCAATGAATTTCCTGTTCCTCAATCCCATTTATTTCTGGGAATTTCAGTGCACTTCCTGTTCTTCAATCCCATTTTTTCCTGATTTTTGTGATTTTAGAGAGACTCCTGCTCCTTTAATCCCATTTTTTACTGGTTTTTGTGAATTTTAGGGAGACTCCTGCTCCTTTAATCCCATTTATTTCTGGGAATTTCAATGAATTTCCTGTTCCTTAACCCCATTTTTTACTGTGAATTTCAGGGCAATTCCTGTTCCTCAATCCCATTTATTTCTGGGAATTTCAATGAATTTCCTGTTCCTCAATCCCATTTATTTCTGTGAATTACAGTGAATTTCTTGTTCCTCAATCCCATTTATTTCTGGGAATTCCAGTGAATTTCCTGTTCCTCAATCCCATTTATTTCTGGGAATTTCAGTGAACTTCCTATTCCTTTAACCCCATTTTTTTCCTGATTTTTGTGATTTTAGGGCGACTCCTGTTCCTTTAATCCCATTTTTTCTGTGATTTTAGGGAGACTCCTTTTCCTTTAATCCCATTTATTTCTGGGAATTTCAGTGAATTTCCTGTTCCTTAACCCCATTTTTTCCTGTGAATTTTAGGGCGACTCCTGCTCCTTTAATCCCATTTTTTACTGGTTTTTGTGATTTTAGGGAGACTCCTGTTCCTTTAATCCCATTTATTTCTGGGAATTTCAATGAATTTCCTGTTCCTCAATCCTATTTATTTCTGTGAATTTCAATGAATTTCTTGTTCCTCAATCCCATTTATTTCTGTGAATTTCCATGAATTTCCTGTTCCTCAATCCCATTTATTTCTGCGAATTCCAGTGAATTTCAGGTTCCTCAATCCCATTTTTTGCTATTTTTTTGTGATTTTAGGGTGACTCCTGTTCCTTTAATCCCATTTTTTTCCTGTGAATTTCAATGAATTTCCTGTTCCTCAATCCCATTTATTTCTGGGAATTTCAATGAATTTCCTGCTCCTTTAATCCCATTTATTTCTGTGAATTTCAGTGAATTTCCTGTTCCTCAATCCCATTTATTTCTGTGAATTTCCATGAATTTCCTGTTCTTCAATCCCATTTATTTCTGTGAATTACAGTGAANAAAAAAAAGGCAAAATTCACAAATTCTTTCTGCCCCTTTGTTATTCATTCACGGACTCCTTCGGCCTACAGGAGAGGGAACTGCATGGCTGCCAAGGACAGAGGCTGGGCTCAGCGTGGCCAGGTGGGTGAGACCAGAGTGCCCTGGGGTTGGGGGAAAGCAGGGAAAAAATGCCTTGGGATTGGGGGAAAAAGCAGGGAAAAAATGCCCTGGGATTGAGGGGAAAAATTGGGGGAAAAATCGTCAGGGATTGGGGGAAAATCAGGGAAAAATGCCCTGGGATTGAGGGGAAAAATGCCCTGGGATTGAGGGGTAAATTGGGGGGAAAATGCCCTGAGATTGAGGGGAAAAATGTCCTGGCATTGGGGGGAAAAATGCCTTGGGATTGGGGGAAAATGCCCTGAGATTGAGGGGAAAAAGCAGGGAAAAATGCCCTGGGATTGAGGGAAAAATTGGGGGAAAAATGCCTTGGGATTGGGGAAAAATCGTCAGGGACTGGGGGAAAATCAGGGAAAAATGCCCTGGGATTGAGGGAAAAATTGGGGGAAAATCAGGGAAAAAAATGCCCTGGGATTGGGGGGAAAATGCACTGGGATTGAGGGGAAATATCAGGGAAAAATCAAGGAAAAATCCTCTGGGTTTGGAGAAAAATCCTTTGGGATTGAGGGGAAAAATGCCCTGGGATTGAGGGAAAAAATGGGGGAAAAATCGTCAGGGATTGGGGGAAAAATCAGGGAAAAATCCTCTGGGATTGGGGGAAAATATCAGAGAAAAAATCCTCTGGGACTGAGGGGAAAATTGGGGGAAAAATGCCCTGGGATTGAGGGGGAAAATCAGGAAAAAATCCTCTGGGATTGGGGGAAAAATCAGGGAAAAATCCGCTTGGGATTGGGGGAAAAATGTCCTGAGATTAAGGGGAAAAATCAGGGGGAAACTGCCCTGGGGTTGGGGGAAAAAATGGAGGAAAAGTGCCCTGGGATCAGGGAAAAATCAGGGAAAAAATGCTCTGGGATTGGGGGGAAAAAATCAGGGAAAAATCCTCTTGGGATTGAGGGAAAAATCCTCTGGAATTGGGGAAAAATCGCCTGGGATCAGGGAATAGGATTGGGGGAAAATCCCATGGGATCAATGAAAAATCCCCCTGGGATTTGGGGAAAAATCCCCTGGGATTGGTGTTAATAGTGTCATATAAAATAACACATTATAATAATATTACAATATTTATTTAATTTATTATTAAGAAACTGTA